AATGTAATTAAGAGAATGTGGTTATTTTTGTGACCTGCATTTTGAAATTATGATTGACAACATTTTACCAGGACATACCAGATTTTTAGGAATTTCAAACAAATATGCCCTAAAGAAGTTGAGCATCATTCATATTTGACAATGCTTCTCAAGAAATTTAACATTTCTAATTAGTTCAACATCTTCCTTTCATAAGAAGAACATACGTTTTGACATATTGTGGGGACCCTCTGGAAAATCCCAAAGTTTGTTCATAGTTAAGATTTCATTAAGAATTTGATTTTTGGGAAGCTTGTCAAAGATACCGAAAGGTTTAAAAAACACTTGATTAAATAGGATCACAGGTCACTGTGAAACAGTATTTAAGTATCCATTTAACTAAGGTGACAAAGACTTCAAAGGCAAACACAGAAAGTTTCACAGTTGTAAAAAACACATCCCTTTTTGTCAGAAATGCAGTTTTGTTAAGTAATCAGAGACCTGACAGATAACATGAAGCACAGGAAGTTATTTTGACAAAACAGAATCCTTTTTTTCCCCTGGACTAGATTACTTAAAAGGTATATAAAAACTTCAGAATCTCGTCTAAGGGAGACCAATAGTGCAAGAAAACTTTGTCCTTTTAAAAGATGAAAGAAAATTGTGTTTTAGTTTTATGTTATTTAGCTCATGTTTGTAATTAAAGCTTATTTTTCTTAAAGCTAATTAAATAGGGCTCATTTACAGAATAATTTCGGCAGTGCCCTCTGGAGGTATAAAAACATCACACACACATAACCCAGATCCATAGACATACATAAACATGTATGAGACAGATGTAGAGACCCCATAGCTCTCATTTCAGAACCTGAGCCCTTGATGAGTAATCTTCTGAAGGCTGATGACTAGATTTGGGACAGAGAAATTCCTTCAGCAGCCTGTATTTAAAAATCCTCTTTCCCCTTTCTCCTCCTCAGTTTCGGTGAGGATCCTTGGGGTTACCTTCTGGGGTGCTTACATTTCAAAGGCATGATAAGAGTTACAATGTAAAGGGATTAAGAAAGAATGCACAATTTCTCCTAAGAGTGTTTTGTTGAAGTGCTGTTTAAAATTTTCCTTTCTATTAAAGGTTGGTGGCATGGGGCTCCTTGGGCTGTTTCCTCACCCGTTACCACCACATCCTCTTCATTCTCCTCACTTGACCAGAGGTTCCAGGGCTTAGCATCCTAACAAGGCTATGTCCCAAGGGCCCAGATCTTCATTCTGGGTCCTTGCACCCTCCTGGCTTTGCAGAAAGTCACACTAAGGTCTCCAGCTGATTATCCTGCTCTCCCGCCTTGGTGGCCAGCCCAGAAGTCAGCAGAATAGCGGGCCACTGTATGTCCTCTAACCTCAGCTCTTCCAACTCTAACCTGAACTCCAGCCTCTAGTTGGGCATCAGTGTCCAGCCCGACTGCCCACAGTAGAGGCCAGTGCACTTTGTGCGGTTCCTCAGATGAGTGTGTTAAAGTAGTTGGTGTTTCTGCCCCACCCCCCCTCACAAGGGATCCACAAGCATCTAATATATGGCCTGTCTCTCCCCACACAGAAGTTGACAGCCAATTCTGGATTTCCCCTGCCTATGCCTCACTCTTGGCTGGCTCACCAGCTGTCTCACAAGTTCCTTGGGGTTTCCCAAGTGTAATCTGAAACTGGCCCCCATACATGGTGTATTTGAAAGAAAGAGGAAGACCCCTTCAGATTGGTAGTTGGCAGGTTTTATTATCACGTGAACTTAGATATGACGATTGTCTCCGGTGGCCACAAGATAAGTAGATTTCCATAAACCTGTCCACCAAATCTCAAAAGTTTATATATAGGTTTTAACTGGGTTCAATCTCATACCCAATCCAGATAGCCCCAACACCACATTTCTGTTTCAGGGCTGTATCCTGGGGACATCTTTGGGGAGAGGGGACGGCAAGTGGAATGCACATTCTAAGGACAGAGTGGGAGTTGGGGAGCCTCTAGTTGCCTGGTGCTGCTTGCAGGTCACCTGGCAGTCACGTCTTCTTGACCTTTTTCAACAGCCAGGCACTGCTTGAAACACTTCGAAGCGTCCTTCGGAAAGTAGTATTTGGGTTCAAGCAGAGAACTGGAACCACTCTAGCACAGAATAGGTCTTTATTGCCGTGATGAGACTTTACAGGGTGATGGGGGCTACAGAAGAAGCATCTGTCAGGCTGTTGTCCCTGAAGTCAGCAGGGCTGCCTGGAAGGAAGGAAATGTGGGCGTAGAGCAAAGCAGAGTAAGGACAGCTCGTACTGGGAAGATGGCCTGGAACTGCATTTCACCCCTACTGGCCTAGACTCAGTGACACAGGTGATGTAGCAGAAGCCTTGACAAGCCACTCTGGGTCCCACTAGTAGTTTTTCCTCTATTTACATTTCACTATGCATACTTTGTTTCTGGGTAATAAGTTCCCTACGTTTCCTTTATAGGAGTGCTCAGCATAATTTGGGGCTCGTCAGTAGCACTTAGGGTGGCTGCTTGGTGGAATCAGTTAGTGCATAGATAATGTGCTTGGGTCCTTTAACACCAATTGCTACCTTTTACTGCACATGGTCTGCTTGCCAGGGGCTTCAGGTATCACCCTTACCCCACAGAAGGGAGAATTGAGATTTGAGAGCTTCGGTTTGTTTCCCCATTAAGCAGTGGAGTCCAGATTTGAGCAAAGGTCTGCTGGTGCATCATTGCCCTTCAGCCAAGCCCCTGTTCAGCAGTGAGTCCCTTGGGCTAGCAGACCCAGCAGAGGACTGCCAAAGCCATAGTAGCTCTTCTCAAGATGGATCTAGGGGTCACCCCAGCTCTTTGGAACTTAAATGGGGTGAATGCAGACTTTCTCTACTCCTGGGAATTTAGGAATGAAGGCTTTGTCAACAAAGATTGAATGGAATCAGAAAGGCTTTCGGTATGAGGTGAACAAAGTGAGAATTCAGCCTCTGAATTTGGGGTCTCAGTGTGCTTGACTGTGTCATTCTCCCAACTTAGGCTTTCTGAATCCAGTCAGCAACTGGGTCTGCATTGGTAGGTAATTCGTTAATTACATTTGCATTATATCCTGTGGGTGCCAACACCCATGATTAGACGGAGTCCCTGCACAAAGGGTGTTGGGGTTTGGAGATCCTTGTCCCACCCTCATTCTCAACCCCCCATTGACCCTGCTTTGTCACCTCATCCACAGCAGGGACTTGGGATTTGCCAAGAGGCTAAGTTTGGCACAGTCCTTACTGATAATTTGAGGAGGTGAAATTACGACAACAACAACAACAATAATAGTAATTCAGCAAGGTGATTATTTTAAAGAACTTGAAAATTTGAAATAATTTTAGATTTATAGAAGAGTCACAAAGACATTACAGAGAATTCCTATGTACCCTGGAGATTAATAGCTCACAAGATAGCCAGGGCACATTTGCCCAAACTATGAGATTACGAAGCTATTAACAAAACTCTAGGCTCCATCCCATTTCCCCCAGCTTTTCCACTTAATGTCCTTTCTCTTTTCAAGGATCCAGTCCAGGACACCATGTTGGGTTTAGTCCTCCATCTCCCTAGTCTCTAGTTAGTGTTTCTTAGTTGTCCCTTATCTTTCATGACCTTGACATATTTGAGGGGTAGTGGTCAGGCATTTGGTAGACTGTCCCTCAGTATGGGTGTGTTTGGTGTTTTTCAAGATTCAGCTGAGGACTGATTTTTGGGTAGAACACTAAGCTGTGTTCTCATCATATCTCTGTTCACATCATATCAGGAAGTACATGATAGGTGTTGGCATAACTTATGAATGGTTTTGTTAATCTTGATCACTTAGCAAGTGATCACTGGCTAAGATCACTTGCCAGGCTTCTCCACTGAAAAGTTACTATTTTCCCCTGTCCGTACCCTATTTGTTAGATACCCGTCATGAGCCCAGCCCACACTCAGAGAGGAAGAAATTCAGCTGCACCTCCCAGAAAAAGGATTAGCAAAGGATGTGGGGACATAAGTTAAAACCAACCATTGTTGATTAGTATTGTGGGAGAGATGCTTTCATGCCTTACAGATATCCTATTTCCAGGGAGGTGATTTTTCAAATGACTTTGTTTCGTTTTAAAATGGGGAAAACTGGCTGTCTTCCTTCTTCCCAGCTTTCTGTTGCTAGGTTAGTGAATTTAGATAATAAGATGCTTAAGGAATCTTGTTTCTTTGTATATATGTGATGCTTTACCACATGTCTGCTGGAAGTTGCATTGTAATATTGGAGAGAGTCTGGAGGCTGTGTGGCATGGGAGTGATGCATGGGAGCTCCCAGCTGAGGAGCTCGATGGGCCCTAATGTCATGAGATAGTGGTGCCGGCCTTTGTGTGTGTGACTCATTCATTTGCTTGCAAAGTGAAGGTAAAAACTTACAGGAAGTGCTGAGATAATGTCAATAGCAGACTATATTTTTAGATGCCTTTTCCCCACCTTGAAGGCTATATTTGAACTTCTAATTGCCTTGCGTGAATTTAAGGCTCAAACATGGTTCTAAGCAGCTTCAGCCATAATTGACCCTGTGGCCAAGTCACTCGGCTCTGTGTTGAAGTGTTCTTAGTCCAGTGGTGTTCTTACATGTTCCCCTCTTCTCCAGCTGCTTTTTGAATTATTTGTGAAAAACCTCACATTGCACGCACTGCTCTCAGCCTTCTGACCAATTGTGTTATTGATCATTGATTGCCAAACACTTTGGCGGAATAGCATTTAGAAGACTCTCCTGCAGGAAAAGAAATACTTAGTGTCTAAGGAAATATAAATCTGGATTATTTGGTTTTGGTCACCTTTTCCAGTTCCCAATGACATGGGTAACTGAGGCATGAAAATAAGCAACATACTCCCACCTGGTGGCAGCATACCCAACTGATTTTTTGTTCTGGGAGCAAAGCTGATCTTTAAGGCAAGTGGTTTGCAGATCATCCGCTCCAGCAGGAGGTGAACTGTTGAAATCTGGAACTTTTCTCTTCTAGGATGACTTCCTATTCAGCGTCTCCATTTTAAGTGGGATCCTTTGCAGCATCCTAGCTGTGCTGAAGTTTATGCTGGGGAAGGTTCTGACCAGCAGAGCACTCATAACGGACGGTGAGTAAGGCCAGTGTGGCTGGTCTCTGGGGACTGAGCTCCCACGGAGGGAAGTTGCTGTTCAGTTGTTTGTCCTCTACAAGAGCTCAGCAGTTTGGAATCCATTCCTTGCCATGTTTCCCTCCATGGGCTGTTTAATGACTCTCAGGGTCCCCATATCAGGGCAGATGATTTGTACCCTGGGAATTTAATAAGCCTCATGAATCATCTCCACTTTGACCTCTTACCAGGGTAGATTGGGACTCCCCAGTCTGTGGTGTTTGTTAGAGATTCCAGAGCCAGACTCCCGGAAGTCATAATTACACCAGCACCCCAGCTCATGCGATGCACACTGAGATTTGGTGCTGCCTTCATGGCAGTCCCAGGGCTCAGGACACAGCATCCTCCCAGGGACGATGGACCCTCTAGTGTCTAGTGCTCCTATGTGACATTTTGGCCACCAGTCTCCAGTCTTCCTCAAGTGCCACTTCCTGCAGGGCCTGGCGTTTGCTTCTGGCCTTGCAACATGCCACCTTTCTCCTTGGGCTGCGGAGGCCACTTGCCCATATGAAATCCAAGCTTTTAAAGCAGTAATAGCTGTTTAAAACAGTAGAAGGATCAGCGACTGGTACTAAGCCCTCCTCTTCCCTGCTCTGTGTGTGCATCCCAGGTGGCCTCGCCTGGCATCTCAAGCTCCCAGGTGAATCCCAGGGCAGGCTGGGGGTGGGCAGGATTCGGCCCACCTCAGGGCCCGCGTTTGCTGCTGTTAGAGCATGATGCTGCTGTACCGCGGGACCAGTCGGGTTTTACGGAGTTCTTTGTGCCTGGTACTGTGCTCAGTGCCACCTTAGCTGTGGCAACCACCTTCTAGCACAGGATCAGAATCGCCTCTTTCAGGTCTCTGTCCCCTTGTTGTGAAGGGTCCTGCCTGGTTCCCACAAGTGGAGTTGCACGTGAGATAACCCCTCTGAGATACATGGGTTGCTTTCTCCCAGAGCCGGATCTGAAGAACTTGTGGTTCAGTCACATGAGAACGATGCACGAGTGTCTGAGCCCACAGCCTGAGCCATTCGTCTGAGGTCTCTGTCACCCAGTGAGGCACTGTGGCTTTATAGGCGGTTTGCATTAACCCGAGCCTAGTGTATGGTCCCATAAGACCCTGGCCTATAGGGGCGCCCTTCTCTGTCTAGGGGCAGACCGAGAATCTGAGCAGGAGCATTCATTGCCTGTGATCTTTGAGGTCTGGTTTTTTTTTTTGTTTTTTTTTTTAATGTCTTTATTTTGAGAGAGAGAGAGCAAGCAGGGGAGGGTCAGAGAGGGAGACACAGGACCCAAAACAGAGTCCAGACTCTGAGCTGTCAGCACAAAGCCTGACGCAGGCCTCGAATCCACGGACTGTGAGATCATGACCTGAGCCGAAGTCGGGTGCTTAACTGAGCCACCCAGGCGCCCCTGGTCTGATGTTTTTTAACCTGAGCAAGAAAATGCCTTGTGTGGAAATGGAGTCCTCTGCTCAAGGCTGGGGACACAGGGCATGCTTGGCTGAGAGCTGAAGGCTGTGTGGGCATCAGCCAGGGGTTTGGGTGTGGGTTTTCTGGCCACGTTCGAGGTTCCTTTATGCTGCCCTGAGGGGCACTGTTTTGTCAGGGCCCAATAGGACTGAACAGGGTGGAGGCCTGGCTGGACCCCTGCTTTTCCAGCGGCCATTCTGTGCCTCCCTCTCCATGTCTCTCTACTTGAAACCTGAGGGGTGGGAGAGGCAGGTCTTGGGGAGACTGGACCATTCAGCGCAGCTCTCCAGGCTACCAGTGGTGAGTGCTCACCAGGGGCTCCTCTTCCAGTCTTGAGTTGGGCCCCTAAGTCACAAAGCCCACTGGCTTATCTATTCACTTGACTGCAGTGGAGACGCAGGCAGTGTTCCCCAGAAGTCTGAGTGCAGACCCAGCAGTCAGGCACCCCCCCCCCAACTCCATGATCCTGGCGCTCGACCCCTTCTTCTCAGAACAAGGGGCCCTCTGACTTGACTGATGGTTTTACTTAAAGTTAGATATTCCAGATACTAAGTTTCTGTTGAGGCTTCACTGTCCTAACCTCTCACCAGTTTTACATGGTGTATCAAGAAGACCCCAAGGATACGTATGTTTTTTTAAGTTTAATTTTGTTGAAAAAAAATTTTTTTTAATGTTTACTTATTTTTGAGAGAGAGAGAGAGACAGAGGGCAAGCAGGGAAGGGGGAGAGAGAGAGACACACAGAAGCTGAAGCAGGCTCCAGGCTCTGAGCCATCAGTACACAGCCCCACGTAGGGCTCAAACCCATGAACCGTGAAATCATGACCTGAGCTGAAGTTAGACGCTTAACCATCTGAGCTACCCAGGTGCCCTTTTTATAAGTTTATGTGGATGTATTTTGTGAGCAAGCAGGGGAGGGGCAGGGAAAGACAGAATCCTAGGTAGTCTCCGCACTGTCAGCACACAGCCCAGTGAAAGGCTCGAAGTCACAAATCATGAGGTCATAACCTGAGCCGAAACCAGGAGACAGATGCTTAACCAAGTGAGCCACCCAGGTACCTCCATAAACATGTTTTGTAAATTATTCACTTCTGACTCTAATTGTCACACAAAACCAACTACGCACAAGCAGTCTTGCACCAGGGAGGGGTCATGACATAGAGAAGGGGACAGTTTGAGTGAAAAATGCTCCATGTGAGGTAGAAAGGGGGGGGCATTCCTGGGCAGAGGGGACTGTATGGGGAGAGACCCTGGGGTTCCTGAAGGGGGCGGGGGCCAGGGGCACAGAGCAGATCCTGTAGGACCCGAGATCCACACTAGGATTCTGGATGTTTTGTTAAATATTTATCAGAGGAGGTGACCTGATGGATGTTTTCTAAAGAGCCCTCTGGCTGTCAGGGTGGAAGACAGAGTGAAGGGAAGGAGAGCCGCAGAAGGGAGAAGTCTTTGGGGCAGCTGACGGGGTGGCGGCAGGGGGCCAGGGGGAGGGCAGAGGGCTGGGGGATGGGGGGATTTGAGGAAATATGGTGGTAGTATTTGTAAAACGGGCAGGGCTCGGAGTTGAATTGTCCATGTGGGTTGATGAGAGAGACATGCACACACAGAAGGACAGAGAGCACTGTTGGAAAGCACAGGGTAGCCAGGTCCCCCATCCCAAGTCTGTTACCCATAAGGGGTCCCTGGGGGCATCAGAGAGCTCTGCAGTCCCTTGCTGAGTAGGAGTGCCAGCCGACTGCCCAGCAGTAATGACAGCCTCCTGCTAACTCCATCGTCTGGGGTCCCAGTTCTACTCATTCAGTGATGAACGGATCGAGGGAACTGTGTGTAACTGTCTTTCTGTTCTTCCCTCCCTTTGGGAGGCACGGGCAGGGTAGGGATCAGGAGCATGCCTATTACCACTGTCAGGGGCTTTGTGAGGGGCCAGCTCCGGAGGGCGTGCCCTGTGGCTGCCTGGGAATGTCCCTCCCATGGTCTGGCCCAGGGCTGGGGGCAAGCCCCAAGCTTCTCTTCCAAGAGGGAGGTGAGTTCCGGTGCAGGGAGGGTGGGCAGGCCTTGTTTGTCACCTGGGGTGGTGGCCCTCCCCATGCTGGAGCTGTGTGTGAACTGGGCTGACTCCACCAGATCCTTTGTCACTGGGTTGTGTCCTTACAGCCAGAGAGCAGATCTTTAAGGAAAGAAGGGGGACCACAGGGTGTGGGTAAATTCCAGACTTTACCACTCTTGTCATGCAATGCAGTAAATTTTGTTGTATTTAGTTTTGTTGCTTTGAATATTCAGTTAACATGAGATTGTTCCTGTCAGCACTAGGCCAAAGTTGGCTTTGTGGCCTTTTAAGAGGGCACCTGGGTGGCTCAGGTGGTTAAGCGTCTGAGTTCGGGTCAGGTCATAATCTCACAGTTCGTGAGTCCTAGCCCCATGTTGGGCTCTGTGCTGTCGGCTCAGAGCCTGGAGCCTGCTTCAGATTCTGTGTCCCCCTCTTTCTCTGCCCCTCCCCTGCTCACACTGTGTCTCTCATTAAGGTAGAACAACTTTGCACAGCAAGTTAATAGGACAAATCAGAGGAAAATTATGGAAAGGTACCTGGGGGAGGTTCTGAGCTAGGGGCCAGCAGCTGGGCTCCAGGGCTGCCGTGGGACAGGTGGAAACCTGTCTGAGGGGCCTGGGCCTACTGTCCTCATTCCCTCAAATTCTAGAACACCAAGAGGCTATGTTGGCTTTCAAACACATGAAAAACTTTAATTAGAATTTTATGCATAAAATTAATGTGTTTAATTATGCAGACTCTTACCTAGTCATTAAGCTCAGAACCTCAAAATATATTTTTAAAGATCTTTTTTAATGTTTATCTATTTTTGAGAGAGTGTGAACAGAGAAGGGCTAGAGGGAAACAAAGAATCTAAAGCAGGCTCCGGGCTCTGAGCTCTCAGCACAGAGCCTGACATGGGGCTCAAATTCTTGAACCATGACCTCAGCTGGAGTCAGATGCTCAATCAACTGAGCCACCCAGGTGCCCCAGAGCCTCTAATTAAAGCCCCTGATGTTATTTTGCATTCTTCTTAAAGTGATAATAGCATTTATGCTTCACAACAGCTCTGGTTTTAAACAAGGGGACAGGAACAAGCTGTGCGCCTGCGTGGGGTCGGCACAGCACCTAGGAGTGAGTGGTAGAGGGGTCCTGTGTGCTGCGTGCATCTGGTGAGCATTACTGTGAGCTCGGGTTCACGGGGAGTGACTGGCTAGGAAGGCTCTCAGTTCAGAAGGATGGCAGGGAGATAGAGCATTGTCCCCTCGCGCCCCCCCCCCCCCCCCCCCAGTGCTTGTTGCCGGTGCTCCTGCGGGTGTTTCTGAGAGGTGAGGCTGAACCGTGTCAGGTTCCGCCCTGAGCAAAGGTAAGCCAGTGGAGCCGTGCCGAGAAAGTCAGAAGCTCCTCCCAGAAGGTGTAAGTGAGGGGACATGCAGTGGATTCATTAATTTGTGAACTAGCAGAGCTGGGCCACTTGGTGGAGCTGAGCGGACATCTAGTGGCTGACTGGGGGACTCTCCGCATCCTCTCTGAGCTCCACTGGCTTCTCTGAGGGCCTGGAGGCTCACCTGTGCCCCTGATAACCATGGAGCTGAGAGCAAATGATTTCCATCTGCCCTGGGGCAGTGGCCCACTCCTCCCTCTCTCCCCCTTTCTTCTGGCCACCCTGAAACAAAACTCCCCGACTTGGAGAATGCCCAAGATGTACACTCCAGGGAGCCTGTGACAAAGCAGTGGGCTCTCCTGATGCTTTGGGTGGCCTTTGGCTAGAAGGTGTGTGATGCAGAGCCTTTTTTTTTCCTTCCTTTTTAAGAGGACTGTCCTGATTCCCTGTGTTAAAAAGGACAGGAAGATTCAAGGGACAGCTGGAGGCAAGAGGGGAAATGCCAGCCTCTCATAGTGAGAAGGGGACATGGGATCTTGATCAATCAGAAAACAAGAAGGAAATCCTGCTTCCCAGGGCCTGCTGGTCCCCTGCTTTATGTGGTATGGAGGCACCACTGAGGATGTGATTGCCAAGGGCAAAACCATGGGTAGCCAGACAGGGAGGAAGTGCCAGTGCACGCTGTATGCTGGGGCCTGGGGTGGCCTCTGCTGCCACGAAGATTCCCAGTGCCCTGATGGTTTTAAAACATAGGGTTTAGAAATGTCTGCCACAGGAGCTGCATGGAGAATGGAGACAGAAAGGATGTTGAGCCCGTTTTTTCATGGTCTAGAGGCAGATGAGCATGGAGAAGCCATAGACACCAGCCACTCAGGGGCCACAGTGACAAGGGGAAGCCAGGAGGCAGCATGGGCCAGGGCCTGCCTGTCCCTCCCCTGCACAGTCAGAGGTAGAAGACTCGATCTGGACCTGGGACGTGCAGCCAAGGTCACCACTCAGCCTCTGCTGCCCTGCTCTCTCCCAGGCACTTAGAGCCAGCTCTTATGCTGGCTGGCCATGAGAGGAGCCCGCAGGGGGTGATGGGGGGAGGTGCTCACTGTGGGTGGCAGGCACGGATGGCCTGCTAGCGACCGGAGAGCAGGCAGAGGCCACAGCTGGAAGAGCCCTCCCTCTGTGCCGGCTCCCGGCCAGCCCTGGCCTCTCCTTCATCACAGTTCCTGGGCTGCCCTTTGGAGGATGTGGCCTCCGGATGGGAGGAAGGTGGAGGTGTTAGCCTTTCCCGGTTCCCGTCACCTTTATTTAGGTGAAACTGAGTTGGAAGCATTTTCCAGGCATGGCCCTTGAGCAAGCTTGGCAGGGAGTGGGGAAGTTGAGTCTCCAGGGAGCCTCAGACTAGCCCCAGCATTGCAGGAGCAAACTTGCTGCCTGACCTCCCAACCTCCCTCCCCAGCAGAGGGGGTGGTGTTTCTCCAGAGCTCTGGCCACAGGCCCTGCTTGGGCAGGCCGGGGGCTTCCCCTCTCTTGGGACAGCTCAGCCCAGCTGCTGCTCAGTAGGAGCCCTCTTAGCACAGCCAAGGCCACATTCCATGCCTCCCTTCCCTCCTCTTCTCCACCTAGTAATTCATTAATTAAGGCAGTAATCATCTCAGTGCCTGAGAAGTGCTAGCCCCGGTTTTGGGACTTAAAATATATCAAGTGAGACAAAATCTCTTTCCTTAAGTTTATGCTTCTAGTGGGGGAGAGAGAGATGTTTGTAACAAGAAGAGTACAAGCAGCATGCTAGGAAGTGAAGAGGTCTGCAGAAGAGTAACAGCAAGAATGAGAAGGTAGGAGGGTGGGGATGTGTCGGGAGGAATCACTTTCGGGCGCTGAGGTTCAGGCTGGGAAGGAGGCGGCGTCGGAGACCCCAGGCGGAGCGGTGTGGGCTGCTGGGTATGTCTGGAGGTGGCCAGGGTTGGCTGGTGCGGCCGGCAGTGTGGGTGGATATCAATGAACGAGGAGGTCCGTGTGTGTGACGTGGGAGAGGCAGGTGGGGCTGCTCATGTCAGCCTTGAAGAGTCTGGATGCCATTCAGAATTGGGCAACTGTTTTTTTTTTTTAATGTTTTTAATGTTTTTTAAAATTTATTTCTGAGAGAGAGAGAGAGAGAGAGAGAGAGGTAGTGTGAGCAGGGGAGGGGCAGAGAGAGAGGGAGACACAGAATCTGAAGCAGGCTCCAGGCTCTGAGCTAGCTCTCAGCACAGAGCCCGACGCGGGGCTCGAACCCACGAACTGTGAGATCATAACCTGAGCCGAAGTCGGATGTTTAGCCGACTGAGCCACCCAGGCGCCCCTGGGCAACTTTTCTATTGGAGGCTTTCAGCTCCTGTCTAGGGAGGGAGGGAGATGTGGGTAGGGGGGAAGCAGGGAAGGTGCTGAAAGGCTACTGCAGGGGTGCAGTCAAGGGGCAGGTGTGTAGGGGTGGGGTGGTGAGAGGTAGACGGAGTATGGGAGGTGAGAGCTGGAAAGAAACACTTGACAGACTGGTCAGATTTTGGACTCATGATACTTTGGGTGGAGCGATGTTAAGGACGGGGATCCTAGAGTTCTGGATTAGGTGTGCAGTGGCACCGTTTACAGAGAAGGTAGCAAGAGGGCCAGATATTTATTTGGGTGCAGAAGTTGAGATTTTTGCTTGGAACATGTTCAGTTTGAGATGCTTAGGGGTGGGTTTGCAGCTCAGCTGAAAGGTCAGGACAGAGCGAGCAAGCGGGCAGACAGTGGTGTGTAGGGAGGGTGCAGGCAGAGGAGGGGTTCCTACGACTGCACAGGGGAGAGAAGGATCCGGAATAGAGAGAGGACAATACTTTGCCTTGAGAAGCGGAGCACAGGGTGTGATCCCCCGCCGGTGGCAGCCTGGTCACGGAAGAGCTCGCCACAGTGGAGCCGGAGGAAGGGTGCCAAGAGAAGGAGCCGCGCTGGGGAGCCAGCTCTTCAGGAGTTGTGTGAAGGGCAGCAGAGCTGGGGTAGGGTGGGGGGGTGGGAGGCTTCTCCCAGGAAGAAGGCTTCACGAGTGGGAACAGAGATGGAGTTGGCTGTGCGCAGGGCCAGCAGCTGCACATGGTCGGTCGGCAGGCAGGGTGCGATGGGTTGGTGGAGGGAAGGTGAGGCAGTGTTGTCATGACCCATAGTCATGGAAGCAGGGGAGAGGGCAGACTTGAGGGGAGAGAGGAGGGTCCCACGCAGCGGCCATCAGTCCTTGCCCACCATGTCCAGCTGGTTCCCATCACGAGGGAGGGGCCTGCCCACATCCACCCCGCCCCCATCCTGAGAAAGGGGTTGGATGTAGGCTTTGCTCAACATCTCTCTCCCCTGCTCTTCTAGAACCTCCCTTCTCAGTGTATGTGCCCTGTGTATGCATAGGAGGTGGTTCAGTCCCGATCTTCTGGTGCCAACACTTTGGAGTTGAGCAGGGGGTGCTGCCCCAGACACGCAGTGGGGCCTGTTGTGGGGGAGGCGTGTGGACCTGGAGCTTCTCCTGGGGCCACTGTCATGCTGAGGCAGGTGTGAGCCCCTGGCAGCCACTCCAACCTGTTCCTTCCTTTTGAAAACTCACAGGTCAATGAGGTGGGGATCAAACGAGGCACCATATGTGAAAGGAGACGCTGGTGTCTCTTAGCTCCGGTTGTGTTTGGATTGCCCTTTCTGCAACCCTGTCACAAATTCTAGACTTTGCATTTCCTTTCCTGGAGAGTGAAAATCCCCAGCTGAGGTGAGGCTCTAAGAGAGGGACAGGATGTAGGTTGAGGTAGAGCCCCAGCCCTGCCCTTCTCCGTCTATGTAACCTTCGGTGAGCGTGTTGAACCTCGCTCTGCTCAACTTAGCTCTCTCCCTGGCGAAGTGGGATAATAATCTGACTTCCTAGGATGCACAAGATTCCAGGTTGGCCCTTGGCCCAGCAGACATTTGAGCCATCCAGGATTTGAATGTCTCCTGTGTGCAGATGCTGTCCTGGACCCTAACAAGTTCAACAGGGATGGAAGCCCTTGCTCCCCCAGAGGTCTGCACTGTGTGTGGGACAGCGGCCACACACGCCCTCTGCTACGTGGGCAGCGTCTGGCAGGGCCTGGATGCTTGACAAGCCACGTAGGTGGCTGTGGTGGTGGCTGTCACTCTCAAGTGCTTCTGGGCAATGTTCCTTGCAGCACACGCTCCGGGCTGTGGAGGCACGCCTGGCATTCGGGTGGTCTCGTTGGTGGCTAAGAAGTTTTCTTGGCCCCGCCATCAGCCTCTCTCTGCTGTTTCTCCAGGGTTTAACTCCCTCGTGGGTGGCGTGATGGGCTTCTCCATTCTTCTGAGCGCCGAGGTGTTCAAGCATGATGCGGCGGTCTGGTACCTGGATGGCAGCATAGGTGTGCTTATCGGCCTCACCATATTTGCCTACGGGGTCAAGTAAGTTCTCCTTTTGTCTCTGCTTCCCCAGTGGCCAGGAGTGCCATGTTATCCACTCCTGACGGTCACAGCGTGCACCTGTGACCCTCCTGTCACAGGACCCTGGGCGAGATCAGGGGAAAAGAAGCCCCCAGCATGGGGTTGGAGATTTTTGTGGCAGGCACAGAAAGGAGCCAAGGGCTTTTAGGATTTAAAGCCTAGGCCAGTTGTCAGAGGCTTACTTTCATCTGCGGTCTTGACAGCTCACTCCTTGGTCTTCCTTTCTCTCTAATGAGGGTCGTAATGACACACTGGGTAAGCACATTTGTGCGCTGTCCTCATAGGAAACGCACCTCCAATGCCCTGCTTCTGTGGGATGCTTGGGGCAGGGCCCAGCAGCACCACTTAGCCAGACCCCAGACCCCACTTAAGGGGACTTTTTACAAAAGGACTTAAACCCGCCCTGAGTCCTCCCATTGAAGAAGAGGTGGACAGACATCACTGACTCGGTGCTCAAACATCTGGGCTGGAGTTGGGCTGTGAGAGAACAGTTTCTAAAAGGTGTTGTGGTTTTAATTACTAACGCGCTTCCTGTCTCCCAGGAGGACAGCTATAAGGAGGTGGCCAGGATAAGGGGAAATTCGAGTCCTCATCCACGGCTGGTTTCAGGGTGAAACAGGACCGCTGCCTTGTACCAGCTGAGTAGTTCCTGCAAATGTTAAACCCTGGAGTCCGGCTCCTTGCTGTCTACTCCAGAGACATGCAAACACATGGCCACGTGAGGTCTATACATCGACCCTCACAGCAAAGCAGGCACCACCCCAGAGTCTGGGCCTGGAGGAATGGATGTGTGCGGTTGAGCCCCGTAGTATTCCTCAGGCCTAAAAGAATGAAGTGTTGCTCCATGCCACAGCATGGAGGAACCTCGAAGACACGGTGTCAAATGAAAGCAGCCAGTCACAACAGGCCACAGTACGTGATTCCACATAGAGGAAATACCCAGTATAGAGACCGAGAGTAGACAAGCACGTTCCAGAGGCGGGGACCACTGGGGCCTGAGTGCAGGGGGATAATTGGATGGTGGATAATTAAGGTTTGTATGATCTATGAATATACTAAAACACACTGAATTGTTTGCTAAAAGGGTGAATGTTCTCGTATATGCATTACAGCTTTAAAACAGCCTTCTGTTTGCTTCCCCAAGTGCCCACGCCCCAGGGCCGCAGGGGGTCCGTGTCAGGGTGACCTGTGTGTTTGCTTGCTGCAGACTCCTCATCGACATGGTGCCCAGGGTGAGGCAGACCCGCCACTACGAGATGTTTGAGTGACCGCGGCCAGCGGGCCTGAGCGGGCTGCTCTGCATCTGCATGAAGACTGTCCAGACGACGAGGCTTCCGTGCAGGCAGATGGTGCCAGTATTTCACCGAACATCCAGTTTCTCTTTAGGAAGGTTTGTGTTCCTGGGAACAAGGTCTGCACTGCTCCCCCTTGCTCCGCTGCCCCCGTCAGATATGTTAGGACAGCAGGCGCAGGGGTGAGGACGGGCTTCCCCTCCTCCAGTGAGAACTGACCTTTTCTATTCCCCGGAGTAAGAATGTTCTTGTGGGTAGGCTCCAGGCTCTCCTCGGCGGGAAGCTCCTCTGTGGTGCTCTCAGCCTGAAATGGATAGCACCTGACCAGACCCACCTCCCGTTCTGGAGTCTCGCATCTCCTGGCAGATTTTAAGGGAAGGCCGTACCTTCAGTCCCTCACCCCTTTACACACCCAGAACCATCCGTATCGATCACTTCCTAATTTCTATCAAGGTATTTCATTAGTTTCATACTGTTTTACTAATCCTGAATCTAAACAGAGTTGTTCACAAGGAGACCATTCTATTTTTAAAGTACTTAGTGATACACGTACGAGCTTTGCATGGTTGAACTAAGCACATGACCCCTTCTTGTACATTCAGAACCTGAACATACATGTAAAAACAGGATCCATTTTTGAGAGATGTGAAACTACAGTTTATTTGTAATAAATAATTATATAATCTATCCATATATGCATATATCTATATGCTGTGTTAAGTGGTAATGGTACATTACAGTCTGTTAGAGATGGCTTGCCCCTCTGTAAGGAACAAGATGTTCTCTGTTTATGTGACGTTAGGTATAGATTCTGTAAAAATGTTTCCCCGACACACAACATTCTGTACCTCTGGCACTGCGGCTTGTCCAGGCGACAGTGTCTGACCAATAAAGACCTTTACCTGTTTTGTATGGTATGGGGGGTTACCTCGGAACGTCACTGTTGGCGGCGGGTACTCTGGTGTGGATGAAGGATGCTGTGGAAGGGGTCCCTTGTGCCTGGGGGTGGGGACACCTGTGATGTAGGGTGGTTGCACATGCATGTGGGGGTGCCGGGACTTCTGGATGTGCTCCCCAGGTCTCACCCCTGCCGACCATGCCCCGTCTCCCATGGGGCTGTCTCAGGCTGGCTGAGGGGAGGTGGTTCTTCCAGAGAGGTCACCCTTCCTGCGTAGCTTCCTTCCTCTGAGGGCATTTTGAGGAGGTTCTAGGGGCTGTTACTAGGTCACATGGAAAAAAGGGTCAACTGTTCGAGTGGGTCTGGGAAATGCAAGATTCGATAGGTTGCTTTTCTACAGATTTTCTCGCTGTATCTCGTCTATATTGTTGGAAGCTCAGGGAGGGGAGCTATGACGTAGTTCCCCCCAAACTTCAGCATTCAAGTTTTTGCTGGCACTTTTGGGAGCCGAGTCCCACAGATGCATGATGAGAACTGCGTGGTGTTGGGCCTTCCAGGCAGTAGCCAGAGTTCCGCTGGCTTCAGAGAGGCTGGCCGTGACCTTCCTTGTTTCCATGGCATCTCAAACAAAAGAAAAAATAAAAAGCCCACCAATCCTCTTCCCAATTCGGTTCCCTTGTAGGTCAATGCAGGGCAGGGGGGTGTGCTCTGAAATTAGCACTGGGGGATGTGACAGAAGAGAAAGAACACTTCATAGTAAAACCCTTCCCATCCCACCCCTTAAACATACCTTCTCATTAGCATTTTCCACAAGGCGTCTGCGGATGGTGGAATGTTGTCAGTGGATGCTGGAATGGACGGGTTCCACCGGTGACTTCCCCCCACCCCAGACCCCCAAAAACCAGTGCCACCTGTCACACAACAAAAGTTTATTGAAAAATAAAGTTCTCCCTAGTTTTCTCTACAACAGTGGAAAACAAAGCAGTGTTCTCTATGCCGGTACAGTACATTTGGACAGCGACACCTTATTTGCAGAATCCTGCACTATGTAACCCCAAGAGTGAACGGTAGAAAACGGTTGTACCAGGAGCTGTTTGGGGACACAGACGCAAATGGCCGTTAGCTTAAGGACGGTCAAGGTTATGACAGCAATGACAGTAGAAAGGGTGTCACCATCTCCTTTGGCATCGATTGTCCTGCTCTTGTCCTGTTAATACTTGAGCATGATAGTAAGCAAAATGCATCCTAGGTCTGTTCCACTTTAACTTTGGCAGAGGTGGTGGGCTCTACTAAGTTCCCATCCTCAGGTGCCAGCCAGGCTTTCAAGACCCGTGGCACTGCCCACCTGAGTGCCCGCTACCACCCCCCACCGGGAGCACACAGCTGCCCTTGCACTGCCGCACCTGCTGCTGGGAGGGTGGGGATGGTCCTAAGGTCCCACAGAATCTGGGGTGAAGGGAACGATGCTTTGAAGAAGGTAAATTCCAACCTCACACCCAAAGACACACAGGACTGATTCAGTAAAGCATTCAAAGGAACTGAGAAAAACCCTAGACTCCAGCAAATTCCTCCTTATTCCCAACTGCAATCTATCCAGAACAGGGCCACGATAGAAGACAAAACTCTAAGAGAAGAAAGGCTAAAAGCCCAAGAAAACAAAAAGCAAACAGGTAAGAAGTGATTTTGGGGAAATACCACTGACCCAGAGCAGCCTCCCAGGAGTGGTTCTGAAGATACTACCCCCTTCATGCCCCATGACTCTATTTGGGTGGTCAGAGAGTCTTGGGACCCCTAAACTGGCTGAGCTGGCCTGGAGGAGAGGTGGGTCTTCTCGGGGACTGGGCCCAGAACACACACGTGACAGCTAACCAGCCCAGGGTCTGGCCCCTGTGGGCTAGACTGGGGGCGGGGGGGGCGCCCCGGCCTGCAGGGAGCAGCAAAGGGACTTCCTGGAGGAGGAGAAAGCATTCAACTGGCCATTCCTTCCTCCTCAAATAAGAACACAGAAAGTCTTTATTATTTCATTTCAGAGGAATGTAGTTAAGCTTGACTTAAGGGGTAGAGTCTGTTAGAGAACTTAATTTCTAGCTCAAAAAGTTCTACAGAGAGGAACCCTGGAATGATCCAAAGACACCAGTGGGGTGAGGCCCAGCATGTGGGTCACCCTTCTCATCTCCAGCTTACAAATTCTTACAGCCTAGTCTCATCTGGGGCTGAAGTCAGGCATATTTGCAGATCAGTGCATTTAGGGCTACAGTAACATTTCAACCATCAGGGCGGGCACGGGGCTTGGACAACCTAAACCAATAATTCCTACAACATTCTGTCAACTGGGAATAGTATTTTCTTATAGTTTTATTTCTCAAATTCTATGAAATGCTAATAACAATATTTAACATTTACGAGGGCTTACTACGTGCCAGACGCTGCTAAACACTGAATCCTCACAAAAACCCTACATGCTACAAAAGCTAGGGTAATTTTTTCCTGCCACTGAGAGTGTACAGCTAATTTGACCTTTTGCTATAAAAACAAGTTTCCGGTTTTTGTTGAAGCCAACAAGAATGAAAGGAACTCACCCTTGGCTTTGGGAAATTCCTACCTTCCTAAAGAAGTCTGAATCTACTATGTCCATCCATCTCTTCACATGGCGGGCGCTCTGCAAGCTCTACAGGGATGGATGGGATTAGAATGAAGCCAATGTGGAAAGCAAAATACCTTCAAATAAATAAAGCAATCCAGGCTTGGGATACTAACACAACAGAGCCTGTCGTTAACGAAATAGACTTTTTTTTTTTTTAAATCAAGGATTTGGGGGTCATGGAAGAGGGTAGTACTGTCCAAATTATATACACAATCTAGGTAAACCACCTTGGAGAAATGGGGTGGCCTCCCTCGGTCTGGTCTAAAAAGCACAAACCCACCTGTACACAGCATCCGGTTTCATCACCTTTACTAAACCCTGCATTCCCTAAGGAAACAAAAAGGATGCATAGTTTTTTCCCCTTTATGATAATCAGATAAAAGTGTTTTGGGGCTAATGCTCATGAACTTAGACCTCGCCAATGGGCGTGGGCAGCCAGTAGCACGAACGTGCTGGCACACTGGCAACCGGCTGTGCTCAGGGCCAGAGACCTGGAGAGGGCCCAGGCTGGTCTGGAGGAAGCCAGTCCTCCCAAGAGTGCTTGTGGCCTCGTACGGGCATGTGGGCATACGTGCTGCGGTCCAGGGGCCTGGCGGGCGTTTCCGGAGCCCAGCCTGCACGTCCACAGCGACACAAGGACGTGTCCTCTATGCTGGAGGAGTCGGCGATCCTCCTTAAATGGTACCCAGATTGTAAAAACCAACCCCAAAGAAAAGTGAAAAGGCACATCAAAAGTGAAAATAAATATCAAAGAAACAGACTCTTAATATTTTGAAACATAGAGCAAACACACACAAACGCAAACTAAAGCAGTGACAAAAAAACCCAATCCGGGCAAAAATGCAAAAAGTATCTCCATTTGTACATGTGCAAATCAAATTACATACGTGAGATAAATGAGGTGTTTACTGGCATTAAAATAAGTGTGTTTCCCCTTTCAGGAGTTTTTACTTCTCAAAATGTTTATGTTTCAAAGGAAAGCCTTCTCTCCTTTAATAAATTAGTTAAGCTTTCCTCATGTCTTTTTTTTTTTTTTTTTTTTTTTTAAAGAATTTAGGATCACGTGGGGAAGGGGTGGTGGGAAGCCAAATTTCACCTAGGGAAAAAAATGTACACAAACTTACAGACCAGGCAAGGTGAGCCTAGGACACAGGAAGACACTGATCCTGACTCTGGATTTCTGTCCCTGTGGAAACCATCAATTAAAAAGGGTTTAGGATTCCGTTCAGTTGGGCAGAAGCAGAACCACCAAAGGCTCCCAGCCCCTATTCGGAGAGGCCCCCTTCCCTCCCAGGGCACCCTGGGACCTTGCCCCTTCTGCACAGCGCAGATGGCAACTCTCTAGTTTCCTCCTGTGGGTCACAGAGGAGACCTGGGCCACGTTTCTGGTGGCCTGGGAGCTGCTGTACATTCCTCTTCCTAACACCTTGGCCCCCTGGAGTTTGGGTTTGTCCCGGGAGCAGCAGCCCCCACCTATAGGAGTCTGCTTACTTCTGGCCACTAATGGGCTGGTGGGTGGGCGACAGGGATGTTCAAGTGCAGGAAATAAAGTGCTCTGCTGGGCTGCTGGACTCAGGTCCTGATGGAGAGGAATGGGGAGGCGGAGAGGCCCCGAGCTCAGCAAACAGGACAGCCATAAATAAATCCGTAAATTCCTGTGGCTTTTGGAACACCAGGCAGGCACAGCATCTTTCTGGGAATGTTGCCTTCCAGCTTCCTTGCTCTCTGAGTCGCTATGCTCTGCAAAATGGGTTAATCTGGCCGAGCGAGGGAAATCCTGCTCAGCCCGT